CTGTAAAGAAATTAAAAAAAAAATTGTAAATTAGTTAAATGTCACTTTTTTCCGAAGAAATTAAACAAACAATCTTATATTATTAATTAGTAAAGAAGTAAGAAATTAGTGTAGATTGATGAAACAGGTATTTATACCTTAAAATTGAAGTGATAAATTTATATTTGGTGTATGTGTTATTTAGAGTTTTTATAAATCTTTTGTTAGACATTTGTGTTTTGATAAAACAGCTGTCATTTGTTTTAATGATTTATGAGTGTAAACAGAACTATTCCAATTTAACTTTAAAATATCACACAATTTCAAGTAAATTTAGATAGGTATAATTTTAGACAAAGGTATGATATTTCAATTGGAAATTAAATTTTAGTTTTCCTTTATAATTTATTTAAATCTATATACGGTGAAGTTTGAATACATAGCTGATTGTGTTTTGTTCATGAGGTTGTTATACTCCGTACAAATCAACAGTGTAGGAACTAGTCTATCAACTACTATTGCCTATTGACTGCGTGCTAGTCTACGCACCAGTCTATAACATACAGACTAGTCAAAGATCTTGTAAAGGAACTCATATATGAACCACTCTATTGATTAGTCGAATTGCTGGTCAAATGGTCTATGGACAAGTCAATGAATTAGTGGATTAGGCAATAACAAGTCTATGAACAAATCTAGTACCTAGTCTATGAACAAGTCTATAACATAATCTATGAACTAGTCTATGATCAAGTTTATGATCAAGTTTATGATCAAGTTTATGATCAAGTCTATGCTCTAGTCTATGAAGTAGTCAATGAACTAGACTCTAATGCTTAGCCTAATTACTAATCAATGGTATATCCTATAAACTAGTTTATGGACTAGTCAATGAATGTATTGTATTGACTAAGCCATGGCCAGTCTATGAGCAAGTCTATACCCTAAGTCTATGGACTATACAAAGAACTACATAGTTAATGAACTCTTCTATGAACTACTCTACAGATTAGTTATGGACTAGTCAATGAATGTATTGTATTGACTAAGCCATGGCCAGTCTATGAGCAAGTCTATACCCTAAGTCTATGGACTATACAAAGAACTACATAGTTAATGAACTCTTCTATGAACTACTCTACAGATTAGTCTAATTATAAGTCAATGATATAGTCTATAAACTAGTTTATGGACCAGTCAATGAACTAGTCTATTGACTTGGCTATGACCAGTTTATGAACTAGTCTATTGACTTGGCTATGACCAGTTTATGAACTAGTCTATTGACTAGTCTATGTTCTGGTCCATCAACTAGCCTACGAACTAATCTATGAACAAGTTTATGAACTACATAGCCCATCATAGACTATTGCATAGATACTAGGGTGATCGACTCGATTTTTCAACCGGTTTTAAAACCGGTTTTTTCTGCTTTACCAGTGTCGGTTTTTTCTTAATGTTGATTTTTCGAATATCGAATAACCCGGTTTTTTCACTTTTTAAAACCCGGTTTCGAATACTTTTATTTGCTTTGTATTCAAAGATTATTAAAATGAAATTTATAAGTAAATAATAATACAGCCCGTCTAAATTTTAAAAATATTCGAGTCGAGGAACTAGAGTACATTTTCTACAGCTCTTTTGGTTAAACTTGTTTGATTTTCCTAATTAATTAAAAAAATTTATTTGTAAAATTGATAACTGTTTGATAAAATTTAGCAATCTTAAGATTATATTCCAATTACAATAATTAATTTACGGCTGAAATTTTATGGAAGAGTTGGAATGCCTATAGCAATTTCCTAAACAGGGCTTTTAAAATAAGCTAGGATTACATAGTACCTTATGTTTAACAGAAGTGTCCCACTTTTTTCCTAATTTTTTTATATTAAAGAAATAATGTAAATCAGACGATTAGATCTAAAGTTATAATCTTTTAAACTGTTAAAAATCATTTCGGGCCATGTTTTATTAATCAAATTTAAACATAGACATTAAGTTTTTCAAATTAAAATACATTTTTTTTAATTATAATGAAAAACCGGTTAACCGGTTTTTTCTGAATTTGAAAAATATCAACCGGTTTTTTTTAAATGTCAACTATTCGAACTATTCGAAAACCGGTTTTTGGAAAATGTCGAATAATCGATCACCCTAATAGATACGCCTTGCTCTATTCTAAGCTATAAAATGGCTGACATGAAAATCTTTTTAAAATTTCATAGATTTTATAATACCTATCCAATACTAATAGCTGGGTACATTAATTTTATAAAATTTTCTATAGGTACATTAATTTAAAATTTATTTAATAGATTAAAATAAATTAAATCACTATGTAAATTTCCTCATCATTTCCACACATCCAGCGCTCATTTACATTTTCTCTATGTAAGAAGAGATTTTCTAAAAATGAGTGGGTTTTTACATTTACATTTTTTGTTGTGCTGTATGAATCAGGGCAACTCCCCATATTGTTTCATTTTTATTTTATTATTATTGTTAAATTCAACTTTATATTATTGTGTAATGCTTGAGTGATAAATTTAAATTTACCACACCTAAAAACAAAATATAATAAAAACCAAAACCTAAGGCAAATTAAAAAAAAAGAAAATAATAAAAAACGCCATTAAAAATAAAAGAAACCAAACGCTTTTGCCCCTCTCTAAGTGACATATAAAAAGAACGAAAAGAAAAAAAAAAACGAGTGTAAAGTAAACAAAACACAAACGTGGTGAATTTTTACAGTAATAATAAGATAAACAAGTTTAACAACAATGAGTTTGTTCTCTCCTTTTATAAATAAAAAACAATTGCAGTACTTTTTGTTATTTTCTTTCTAAAAATGCTTTAGAAAAACATAATCTGCGCAGGTTCTAAAGTTAAGAAAATGTAAAAAGCTAAGAGTAAAATAAAAACAAGTTAGAAATTCACCACTAAGGTAAAGGGAGTATATATTAGGACTCTTTTAATATTGATAACATTTAAATATTAGAAATAATTAAGAAATACTCCCTTAGTTTCAAGAAAATTGAACAAACCTTATAATAAACAAACTGGAATAAGAAACTCACCTCCTTAAACAAAAAAGTAATTCCAATATCAGTTAAAACATTAAAACTATACCTATATTGCAGCACCTATCAGACCCAAACTGGTATTGGATCAAAGAAAATGTTGGCGTTTTGTATGTATTGAAAAAGTGCATTGTAAAATTTTAAATTTAAAAAAAAAATTGGCTGTGTTTGGCTTTTTTGTGTTAGTAGCTAGATTACTATTAAATTTTGTTTTTGTATCTAAACTGGTTTATTGCCTTGTTAATGGCTAGCAGCAACAGAAACAGCTTAACAGCCTTGAAATGTATTTTAACAGATTTTATTGCTGAATTTTTTTTCACACAAAAATATTTCTTATTAAAAAGTAGAAAAAATTTATAAAAAAAGAGCGGGTTTTTTAGTTAAAATAATTACAATGCAATAAATCCAATACATTACGAAAAAATACCAATAAAAACAAACACACTCTTAAGCATATGGAAATATATTTGTGTTTAGAAGTGTGGTGAATTTGTAATTAATTCAATTTATTATTTTAAAAAGAAATCTCTGTGAGGTTTCCAAACAACTGGTTTTTTATTATAGAGAATAATAAAAAAAAGCAAATAAAATGTACAAATTTCAATTTAATTTGTGATGTCTTTAATTTGATTGATGATGTTATTTTTTCCACTAAACATACATCACTCATACAAATTTGTGTTAATATTACGCATACTTTTGAAAATGTTAATAATTTATTATCTTTCAAAAAATATCACCGCATTAGACGGAAAACAACATTCTATTTTATTGGTTTTTAAATATGTATGTTTTCCATAAAAATATATTTTATAGCATGTTACAAAAATTCACCACTGTGTTATTTAAACGTAAACTGTCATAGTAAACATTTACTCAAAGTGACCACACTTCAAACAGCTGTTAGTTTTTTCTTCATTTAACTTTCAATCAAGGCGAATTTAAACATATGTATATAAAAAAGTATGTATTTGCCCGATTTGTCCACTGACTTCAACAAGGCGAATTGATAAGTTGAAGTTATTCCAACAGTTGATTGTTATTTTGTTCATAAAAATGTGTAATGAGAGGCTGTCAAACTAATATACAAATACAAATATATATTTCGCCCCAAGATATATTAATTATAAGGTAGTGTCGTCGGCGAATTCAGAAATACGGAGCGAATTCATTTTATTTTTTATATACGGAGTTTGAAAGCATGCCTACACTTCAAAGTGCCAGAACATTGTCAAACTACATATAAAAAAGTGTATTAGCAAAAAACAATCAGCTGCTCTGTTAACACTACCTTATAATTAATATACCTTGTTTCGCCCCACTTTTCTGACTTCGCCAATGACTTCACCTCGTTAGGTTAGCGTTTTGTTATTGTTCAGTTCTAGTTCTGTTCTAGTTCTGTTCTAGTTCTGTTCTAGTTCTGTTCTAGTTCTGTTCTAGTTCTGTTCTAGTTCTGTTCTAGTTCTGTTCTAGTTCTGTTCTAGTTCTGTTCTAGTTCTGTTCTAGTTCTGTTCTAGTTCTGTTCTAGTTCTGTTCTAGTTCTGTTCTAGTTCTGTTCTAGTTCAGTTCTAATTCTATTCTAGTTCTGTTCTAGTTCTGTTCTAGTCTAGTTCTGTTCTAGTTCTGTTCTAGTTCTGTTCTAGTTCTGTTCTAGTTCCGTTCTAGTTCTGTTCTAGTTCTGTTCTAGTTCTGTTCTAGTTCTGTTTTAGTTCTGTTCTAGTTCTGTTCTAGTTCTGTTCTAGTTCTGTTCTAGTCTTTTCTAGTTCTGTTCTAGTTCTGTTCTAGTTCTGTTCTAATTCTGTTCTAATTCTGTTCTAATTCTGTTCTAGTTCTGTTCTAGTTGTAGTTCTGTTCTATTAACTTATCAAGCAGCTGTTTAGATATTCAATTAATTCCAATGTTATAATTATTAAACTTCAGTTCCCTATAAAAACATTAAAC